ACCTGGCTACTTAGAGAAATGTTTCAATCTCAAAAAAGAATTGCCCAGACTTCCTCTTCATCTCATCTTCTTCTTCCTTCCTTCTTTCTTCTTTCTTCTTCTTGTTTTTTCGAGACAGGGTTTCTCTGTGTAGCTTTGGAGGCTGTCCTGAAACTCACTCTGGAGACCAGGCTGGCCTCAAACTCACAGAGGTGCACCTGCGTCTGCCTCCTGAGTGCTGGTATTAAAGGCGTGCACCACCAATGCCTGGCTTCATCACAGCTTCTAAGAGGGCTTGCCACCCTCCAGAACCATCCCAGATCCCCTGAGCAAGGGATCCTGGATGATTCTGTGCTCCACGGTACAGAAGGAAGATGCAAGCACAAACTGGCCAGCATATCTACCAAGGCCTGACCAAAGACCTGTGCCATCTCTTGCTTTCCTCATTTAAGAGTTAACACTTATGTTCTTGGTTAAGCAAGGGCCTTTGTATTTATCATTTACTCTTGTTCTCCACATCTTGTCAGTAACTAAATTCCAGCAAGCCTGTCCTGAGGATGAGTGTTTAAGTTTCTCTCTTCCCTTTCTTTACTGAGGACTGGTCTTTTCAGGCTCCATTCTAGGCTATGTTATTTTGCCTAAATATTGGTGTTCACTAACTACAAATACTCTATATATTCTGACTGCTTCTTTTTCTATTAACATACATATTCTGCTACTCTCTTGTTGAATCCTCTTGTGTCCCTTGTAGACTCTCAATATTTTTCATATTGAATCCTGCGTCCTCTTAGCATCCTCTCAACCCAAGGTTCTTATAGTGATTTAGAAAAGTCTGAATGAGCCGAGGTTAGAGTTAATATCAGGGCTTCAAATATTGTGTTTAACTTGCACTTGCCTCCTGTCTTTGGAATATAAGGACAAACATGGATTCAAACTAGACCCTCTGCATATGGGAGACAGTTGTGTAGCTGGATCTATCTGAGGGCCCCTTACAATAGCACTGGTATCTCTCCCTGGTGTGTGAGCTAGCTTGTTGGAGTCCATTCCCTAGGGTGAGAATGCCATGCTCACCCTTAATGCAGTGGGGAGGGGCTTGGTCCTGCCCCAACTTAATGGGCCAGGCTTTGTCAACCCCCCTCCCCAGCCCTTACCCTGTGGGAAGAGTGGATGTGGGATGGGCTGAGGGGGGGGAGGTCAGGAGAGGGGCAGGGGGAGGAATGGGAAGGAGAACTGTGGTTGGAATGGAAAATGAAATTAAAAAAAGATGAACTTAGAAAACCAAAGCAGATGCTTCTGAAAGCAGAATAAGGTGTTGGGTAGTCTGGCAGTGTGT